ATCACCATACTGTGGGTAGCAAAAGGGCCTCTCACTGGCATGAACTCGCTAGTGGCTGGTGAGTCGTGCTTGGTCAGCAAAGTGTTTAGGGCAATCAAGTCAAAAGAAGGGGCACTCTGTACTGTTGTGGCCTGGAAGGTGGTAGTGAGTCATGAGGTCTGGGTGTAGTGTGGGCAGGTGGGTGGTGTTTCACTCATGTGGTCCTGGGAGGTGCTACCAAGATTGGCCTGTGGGGCAAAGTGCTTGGGACACTGGGCACAGGTTGAGTGCTCACCAGCATGGCTACACTGATGTGTCATTAACATGTCTTGGTTGAAATTCTTGCCACAATGGTGGCATGAGAACACCTGCTCTCCAGCTGGAGGTGGGAGTGAGTGGGTAGCTTCCCAACTGAGTAAAAGTCACTTGTCCCTTTGGGGCTTTAGGCAGGTCAGTGGCTGCCCATCCAAAAAATGTCATGGTGACTGCTGGCTTTTGAAAGTTACATCTGAAAAAGCATCTTTTGCTGCAGTGGAGCAGAGAAGATGACTAGGACTTCAGGGTACAAGGTGGCTCTAGCAAAGTCTTCAGCTTTGATGACAAACTCTTCATCAGCATAGGTACCTTTGTACAGGTCACTCTCTTTGGACTCCTGGGGGGTTCCAATTGGAGGCTCTTCCTCTTGTTTAATCCAAGACTCCTGAATAGCTCAGGTTGAAAGGCCAGGCTTTTTTTTTTTTTTTTTTTTTTGAGACATGGCCTTACTATGTAGCTCTAGTTAGCCTGGAACTTACTAAGTAGATCAGGCAGGCCTTGAATTTAAAGATTCACCTGCCTCTGCCTCCCAAGTGCTGGGATTAAAGGAGTGTGCCACCACCTTGAGCTTACTTAAAAAAATTTTTTTTACTTATATATTTTTATTTTATGTGTATGGGTATTTTGTCTGCATGTATGTAAGTGCACTACATGCATGGAATACCCACGGAGACCAGAAGAGGATATTGGATCCTCTGGAACTAGATTTACAGATTGTTTAGCTGCCATGTGGGTGCTAGGAACCAAACCTGGATCCTCTGCAAGAGCAGCCAATGCTTTTAACTACTAAGCCATCTCTCTAGCCTCCATTGCTTCTTTTTTGAGACATGATCTCATGTAGTCCAGATTGGCCTCAAATTTACTGTGTGGCCAAGGATAACTTGAACTCCTAATCCCCAAGCGTTTGGAATATAAACCTGTGTCATCATGCCTGGTTAATTTTTGGTTTTTAGAGATAGGATCTCACTCTATAGCCCAAGCTGATCTTGAACCTGATCCTCTTGTCTCTGCCTCCCAAGTACTGGGATTACAGGAGCATAGCACCACACATTATTACCAACTAATTATAACAAAACAGAGCTAGTCTTTTAAAATGCATACAATTCTGGTCAGGTGTGGTGGCACATGCCTTTAGTCCCAGCACTCAGGAGGCAGAAGCAGGTGGATCTCTGTGAGTTCAAGGCCAGTCTGGTTTATACAGTGAGTTCCAGGTCAGCTGGGGCAACAGGGAGACCCTGTCTCAAAAAACAACAACAACAACAACAAAAAAAAAACATGCAATTCTGGAGAACCACTGGAGAATGAAAATATATATATATAGTTTGTATGCATTCATGCAGAGGTCAGAGGACAACTATTGGGAGTTGGTTCTCTCCTTTCACAATATAGGTCCCAGGGATCAAGTTCAAGTTGTCAGGCTTAGTGGCAAATGCCTCCTTTACTCACTCTGTGTGTGTGTGTGTGTGTGTGTGTGTGTGTGTGTGTGTAAAACAACTGTTCTTAAAAATAATCACCTGGTGTCAATAAAACTGTTGTACAATTTTCAACCACAGTTCTCTCACAGTTTTATTAAGGGACATCTAGCCAAGTAAAATCACTTAGAACCTCAGAATCACCTTGAATTTCAAAGGAACTGTCTAGGCAAAAACTATGCTCATTAAATATAGTACTACTGCCTTTTTGTGTCTCAGGACCTAAAGATGCCAGCCACAACGATTTCAGTTTGTGTGTGTATTTTAGTTGAACAAAACAGAAAATGCTCTTTATTCATTGAAAGAACATTTGTTGAGTACAGTGCCAAGAAGTCTGGTGCTAATTATTCAATTTCTGATCTCAGGATTTTCATTGTCCAATTTTTAAAATTTATTTTTATTTTATTTGTATGTATATGTGTCTCAGTGTACCAAGGTATATACAGTGCCCATGGAAGCCAGAAGAAGGCATCCACTGTTGGATCCCCTGGAACTGGAGTTACAGTTGTTAGCTACCATGTGAGTACTGCGAAGGAAACCTGGGTCTTCTGCAAGAGCAACCAGTGTTCTTAACCACTTAGCCATCTCTTCAGCACCTCCTTGTCCAATTTTTAAAATATGCTTTCAAATTACCACCTACAACTTATTACCAGAAGTGATGTATTAACTAAAAACTTCCCTATAAATAGATTTTGGAGCTAGGTGAAATGGTGCATGCCTTCAAACCCAGCACTCTGTAGGCAGAGGCAGGTAGATCTCTGAGTTCTAGGCTAGTCTTGGTCTACACAGCAAGTTCCAGGCCAGCCATGGCTACAAAGTGAGTCCTTGTGTAAAAAACAAAGGTGCTAGAGAAAGGTGCTAGAGAAATACCTCCCTGGTTAAGGGTTAAGAGTACAAACTGGGAGGACCCAGGTTCAATTATCAGCACCCATGTCAGGTGGCTCACAACCACCTACAACTCCAGTACTGAATGCACAGTGCACACAAACCCACACACATATACACATAATTTTTAAAATATAAAAAATTTAAAAATTTTTTTATTTTATGTACATGCGTGTATTGCCTGCATGTAGGTAAGTGTACCCGTGTCGGGCCGAGGAGGACAGAAGAGGCTGTCGGATCCCTTGGGACTGGAGTTACTGACAGTTTTTAGCGTCCATGTGGGTGCCGGGAATCGAACCTGCGTCTTCTGCAAGAACACAAGTGTTCTTAACCACTGAGCCATCTCTCCAGCCCCCTACAAAAATATTTTTGAAAACAAAAACAACGAGCTGGCCGCGGTGGCACACGCCTGTAGTCCCAGCACTTGGGAAGCAGAGGCAGGCGGATCTCTGTGAGTTCAAGGCCAGCCTGATCTACATAGTGAGTCCCAGGACAGCTGGGGCTACAGGGAGACCCTGCTTCAAACAGATTTAAAAAAAAACAAAAAAGCAACCAAAGAACAGATAATGAAGAAATTCATCTTGTTTGCCGCAGGGGAGTACAGGATTAGGCCGGGGGTGGTGGCGCACGCCTTTAATCCCAGCACTCGGGAGGCAAAGGCAAGCGGATCTCTGTGAGTTCGCGGCCAGCAATCCAGGACACCTGGGGCTACAGGGAGACCCTGTCTCAAAAAGACCAAAAAAAAAAAGTAAAAAAAAAAAAGAGCATGACTAAGTTCTGGAAAGTACCTGAACTTACCTAGTGAGTGAAGTCATCGTACTAGTTATGAAATCTGCACTTTAGCTCAGCCTGTTCATCAAAGTGTATGACTCGAAAGGAGCTGCTGCTTCATGAAACAGGGTCCAACTCACGTAGCCTAATAAAAATTTACTACCTGAAATAAACGTTTTATAAATTTCAATTCACTTTCAAAATTAAACTGTCCTTTCTCCTTATCCTGGACCTCGGTTTTAATATAGGTCTCTACATGTCATTTGTTTCTCCACCTATTTTTACCCACACTGCTGGGCTGGGGACTCAGGCTAGGGCTTTGGCTCAAGCTGGGCAATCCGCATATTCCTAACATTGCGCTCAGCGGTTAATGCCTTCAGCGTGAGGTTTACCTAATCTGTGAAAATTCCTTAGATTTCTTAGGGGTCGAAGTGGGTATCCAAGAAAACAGCCATTATCACGGTTATGTACACAGCCACCCTCGTGACTCCGCATGACATGACGATCACACACCCCAGCCCTGCTTAATCATGTTTATTCGGTGAGGGACGAGAGGCCACACCCACAACCAGGGCGTTGGGAAAGCGGTCCAGAGGTTCTAGTCGTAACTGCATCCTTCCCTCCCCTCGCACTCCAAAAAGAGATTTACTCCCGAGGAAGCGCCTATACTGCATTTCTCCTCCATTGTTCAGACCCAGCGGAGGAGACCGATATGGAGGCCTAACGCGGTCTGAGCCGTCGCGCCGAGCCCCCCCACCCCCAACGCCCCCCGCCGTGCAAGCACGGCTGGGTCTCGGGCTTCCGGCTCCGGGAACGTCCTCGCCGTCCGAACCCGGACGCGCCTCGGGCTCCAAGAACGTTCCCGCCATGCGGGCCGGGACAGGCCTCGGTCCTTCGGAGCCAGGCAAAGCTGCTAAAAGCACCGACTAACAAAAACGCGATGAATGCTCCCTACTGTAGTAACCAGAGAAACAATGAAATCCCGCCAGAGGGGCGCGGGAGCGCGCTTCACTGCTGCAGCGGGGAAAACCCGCCACTCTCCACGCCGCAGGAACGCGCAACCCGCCGGGCCTCCCAAGAGCAGACCACGCGGGATTGGAGCAGGGGGTCCGCGAAGCGGGAAGAAAAGACCCTTCCCCCACCGCCAGCCGGAAATACCCGGCTTCCAGGCAGGCGTGACACTGCCGCGCACGCGCACTAGTTACTTAGCAACTTCGACGTTCAAACGCGCCAGCGCGCAGCCCAGCAACAGTCGAGCTGCTGTGGTCCCCACCAATCAGCACCCGCCTCGCCTTCGACGCCTCACCAATCAGCGCCAGCGCCGCAAGGAAGTTTCCAGAGCTTTCGAAGGAGGGTCCTTTAACATGGATTCATCCGCCGGCTGATGGGTCCATTTTTTTTTGAAAAACAAGAGCTAGATCTCCTGGAGGAGCAGAGGGTCATTTGATAATTTCATTTGTTTCTGTTCCAAGGGATTTGGTGTTCCGTGGACGGGTATAACTGAGTTGTAGGAGATAGGGCCCGAGGGACTACTTTTCATGGCGCATGGAGATAACAGCTACGTAGGCGTGATATGTGACGCAACAGATGTAGCATAAATAGTGGCTCCGCGGGCCTGTCCTTTGCAGTAACGACGGACTTTGTGAAGTGTGTGGTGGTTATATTCTGGTGTCTGACGCGATCGGCGTTTTTCGATCTCCTGACTCCGGTAGCAGGTACTGGCCGCTTGCGCCGGAAACCTAGAAGGGCTGGAGGAGGGGGTTGAGTGAGGTCGGTCTGGAGGGTGCGCGGGTGGGGCGGTGGGGC